TTAGTCAAAATTAGAATTTACGCAAAATTGGAATTAAAATGGGAAAATCAGAGATCACAACTGATAAAGTCATAAAATTAATTATATGTGCTAAAATCATGCTCTTAGTTTCTCCTGCTAGGTAACAGCCATACTCACCCTACGTCTTGATTTGTTCAGAAATTTTTTCTGTGCTCGATGAAGCTGTTACAAGAAAAGTCTCACTCAAATTCGGAGATTTAGTTTTCTAGAGTTTGGGTTTTCTAGAAACCTGGATCACAGAAACTTTAATGGAATCTTTATTTGCCACAAATCAGGCTGAAAACTCCTTGCGCTATCCAAATCTTTTTTCAGATTTGTTATATCTATCATCTTCGAGGAGAAAAACTGAAAATACACATGGTTCAATAATTTCGAAAACCACCGTAAATAAAAAGTCGGGATAGTCATATACTATTCAGAATATAATTGCTTGACGGTATACCTTCTAAAAAATCTAATATATTTCAACTTGAAGCTCGTTAAATTCTGTATTTTTTTATACCATAACCGTTCTGGGTCTGATTTTGTTTACGGCACTACACTTTATTCTTTTAGCATTAAAGATATTTGTCAGATCATTGCTCGTATGTCAATGGTGAAAATATGTCGATTAGCGGGACATTTTGCTTCCAAGAGTATTTAAACACCCAGATGAAATCCATCCTACACCGTGGTGCATCTTACATGATCCTATATTTCCTTATGAAATCTTATCATAAAATCATGCAACAAGATTTTGTCAAAAGAGTCTGTATAGGAGTGTCGCAGTTGCCGTTACTTTAATTACTATGTAACTAGTAATTATGTGCCATTGAGTTACTTATAGTTACAAAATCGTTTTTTCATAAAGCAGCTGTATGGAAGGGCGTTAGATCAGCAAAGATCATGTACATTATTCTTTCAGTTCGGTTGAATCCATATAAGAACGATACGACTATTTCGCGAACTTTTTCCGCTAACGAGCGAATCTTCCCAGGACCGACGTTTGAGCGCCCGACATCTGAGTAATAACGACAGTTCAACATCAAGTGCTCCCCCTCACCACCCTCGCCATCATTTGAGCGACCCACATTTGAACCACCGCATCTGAAGGACTCCAACAACTGAGCTAAGCGCATCACTTATAGCTACTCACCCTCACCCTACACAGCCTCACCCTCTACAGATCTCCAAACAATTCAGTTCATAATCGGACGACAAAAAAATTGTTCTGATCATCGTTATCGAAGTGAATAATCATTCGACTTTCCTGATCGGCAAAAAGTCAAATTGAAAAGTGTCTAATGTCGGAGTCGCTCAAATGTCGCGCGCTCAAACGTCGGTTGACGTATGCGAATATATCCTAAGTGTAAGCTATGGTATATATATTCTAACAACATTAGCTTCACTCCCCACATGTATCTTATGTTAATATTCTTTCGTGACAGCTGGCGAATGTCCACTGTACTTTCACCAATACACCCCCTGCATTTTCGCCATTGGCGAATGTCCTATTGACGAGAGTCTTATCGGCGAAATTCCGGTTACCCATTCGAACATGTGAACTTAGCTTTGTAGTAAACTAAAATGCTGTCAGTTCTTTACTTTTTGTATTTATTTATTGAAATATATTCAGTTTTCTGAATGTTTTCAATTGGATTTCTACCAAATTATACTCTTTCGATATATTCAGCATTTTCCAAACCGAGAATTCTATTGCAAATTAAGAATTTGAGAAACTGAGAATCTTGGACTTTGAGAAAAACACAAAACTCAAAACCGCAGGCCTCTATCTATTTCCTATCAAAAGTTATTCAAAAAGCAACCACCTGCCTTGATTTCTGGCACCTATAGTAAAAATTTGTATTGTCATTTATTTTAGCGCATGAATCTGGGCAAACTCACTTGCTATGTCAATACTTCGTTCGATAAACGGAAATATAATGTCATCTTCCATTGATTTATTGCTTGATATCAAACCAGACTGATATCAAGCAATAAATCAATACCAGCTCCATGTCTTATTTTTTCTGTATGTTATTGCTTATACCGTAGTTTCCATGTCACGTTTCAATTTTGTTAATCGCTCTTCGTGTTGCTGAAATACGTATGATAATGGATCATCTTCGGTTAACAATGATGCAGGATATTTAGTAAGAAATTGATCTGTGTAATGTTGTATCTGCCCATTAATCATATGTAAAGCATCCTCAAGATAATTCTACAATAAAAAACAAGAAAGCTTTTTTCTCTCGTTAGTTCTGAAAATGTTGCACAAGACGCTCAAAACATGGAGTGATTCATTGATCACTAAATATCCATTAGCCCAATATTTGCCCAATATAGGATAGTCATACTAACAAAACAAAAAAGACTATTCACAAATGGTCAAAAAATAGGCAACATATTACGCGGGCAAATCTATTATAGCAAGAACATTATAATTTTGACTAGCTAAAACCCATTCAGAGAATGTCTATATTCTGATTTATAAAGTATGAAAATACTACCATTACTCATTCAGAGGGGGTCATTTGCAAAAAGGTTACCCTCGTCAAAAACCTGTAGAACAAATATCAACCTTTTGGTATGGTCACTTTTGTTTTTTTCTTAGTATTATCAAACGTATGGGAAATATGTATGTTTTTCTTCTCATGTTTTTATTAATTAACAAGCATACTTTAGCTGACGAGGGAAGGTCTCCAGATGTTCAGGCCGTTTAGACTCCATCTTTTGGTCATAAGTAGACCTCGATGAGGTATGAAAAACCTGAAAAGGATTCATTCCCTTAGGCCTTTCTTCTCGAGTTATGACCATTTTACTGAGTTTTCGACCTTCTGCAAGGTATTTCGGGAAAATGCCTTCAGGACGCCCTAGAGACCTTGAGACCTATCCATGGCCAGAATATCCGAAAATATGTCATTCACATTTTTCCGAAATACCTTGCAGAAGGTCGAAAACCCAGTAAAATGGTCATAACTCGAGAAGAAAGGCTTTAAGCTCTTTAGTGATCAGTACCCTATATTCTACTTTCTTACTATAATCTACTGTTTCATACGTGAATAAAACAATTTTCTTTCCACTTATTTAAGTTTTCTATAATAAGACCTTATTCCCCCGCGAACAGTCTCATGACTCGTCCTCATTGTTTACTGCTTGTAGACCGGATTTACTTTCCCAAATCTACTATGAAAGTAGTTCGAAAAATAAAAATACGTGCGACGAAAATGCAGGACACGACATATTGCACGTTTGTATAAATCCCGTTGTTTCAAACCAATCTCTAGAAAAATGTGCTACTGGAGATCCTTTTTTTTCTATAAAGATCGAATTCAATTCAGACTCCTAAGTTGTAGAAAATAGAGCAGCTCGAATACTAGTAATATGATGAAAACTCTTTTCATACCTGTCTTAATAAAGCGTTAGAAGTAATCATAAAAGAACTTCATGTACAGTTACTAACATGATTCGTCATTCAATAAACAGTGGTCAAAGAAAAGAATTTCTTGATTGATCGCAACAAAAAATGTATCTTCGAAAAACCTTTTTGATAAGTTGTTTCTAGAAACGTAACGTGCACGCAACTCAAACTTCAAGTTGAATTTTCTTTTCGCCTTTTCTCTACATGGTTTGATAGACTGTGATCTGCTGATCACGAATATCTAGTTTTTCGCATTTATGAACGCTCTTTTCCGGAAAAAAAAGATAAACTTGAGGGGTGTCATTTTTCTCGAAAAACCTGTGTTTTTCAAAATATGCGAAAAGTTCCTGCTTTGCTCTTTTTGCCAGCTTCTAAAAGTATTTTTTTCTGATTCAGCGTTAAAAACTGAGTAAACCGAAACTCGTTACGGAATTTGATGAGACGCGGCTAATTCAAAGCTCAAGCATTGCTTTGTTTCTGGCTTTATTACAGGTATTTGGATTTGCCTTAAGCTGCTGCCAGTCATAAATATGATCTTGCTTGTTCGATTTTTGGTCAAGTTTTGATGGTAAAAAAAGCAAGGGACTAAGTAGGTGTGAGAATCGGTAAAAACGCTTCCTATCCAGCTCCGTCTCCTTTCGTTATTGAGACTTTTCAATAGGATATTCGAATTCAGCATCTAAAATACTCTTTGTCTACACGAGTTTCAAGGTGCTTTATCACATGTACTTTTTTCTACGAAAATCAACTATATACAGTTTTGAGATATAGCAACAAAGTCGAACAAAGTCTGTAGGTTTTGCGTAAAACCGGATGGCATCAACAATGGATGTTGCACCTTCATTCGATATATTATTATTCGAAATATGCAGCCATTTTAGTGTTGTACTGATCTTCAATGCATCAGCAATCGATGTTGATCGATATTGAAGCGAACAATACATAATTTTTCATTATGGCAGAAGAACGACTAACTGAGTGTTCCAAGCACTAAGATTGGTGAAAATCATTATACTGGCCAAGTATTTCAACTATTGACGAATGTGGGCATATCTTTGAAAGACTTATTTATAGAAGCTAGTGAAAGTCTCTATCGAATGACATATAAAGTGAACTAATTCACGAGAAAATCAATGGATATGGTAAACATGAACGACGTTGACCCACAGGTCTGCTGAGATGTTACCGAGTATTTCGAAATCTAGACTACCGTGTTAGATTTTCTTAAGATTATAGTATACATTATTTTGAAGCCCGTGAAAGTCTCTATGGCATGATGTATAAAGCAGAGTGGTTAACGAGAAAATTAGTCGTCGTTCAACATGAACGACGTTGACCTATCGATTTCCTGGAATGCTATTGAGTATTTCGGATCTTCGAGTACCCAGTTACATTTTCTTAATGCTAGTTCATGCATCATTTTGTAGCTCGTGAAAATCTCTATCGAACGGCGTATAACAGCTGATATTTACTCTGGTGAAACAGGTTGAATAATGTAAATACTTTGAGAAAGCGTCGTTTAACGCGAGAATAGTTGTTTTTGCTAAAAGGTTTCCGGGGGGGGTACTGACGAGGAATTTTAATCTATATATTCATTTGATAGGTTCATCGTATTCAAACTTTCTTATAAGAGAAGAATTAGTGGAAAATAATGTCATAAGAAGCATATTAAAATCTTTGCGCAAACATCTTGTCGGGGTACACGCAAAAATGGAGCCTTAGGAGTCCCACTCAGAACACCGCTGCGCACGTTTTCTTCTCGTTAGGAAAAAAACTCGAAACAGACACTCTTTCTGTGACACTATTTACTTTGTCCGGATATTGAGGAAGCTCACGCTGGATATTTTATCTTGTTTTAGCATAAGCTGAATGAATAGTTCAACGAATACATCAAATTTCTTCATTTGTTATGTTTTCAAAATAAAAGTGTATGACACAGTGCCATCATTTTAGACACAACTTGTATAAATTTAGCATGTAATTAATTATACATAACTGTTTATCAATTTGTAATTGTTTATTATCAACATACAGTAAAATTTCTCATCAGCGCACTAAACAGTGTCTTCCTCAATGG